CTTCTCGGGGTAGGTTGGTTCAGAAGCACCGAACAAAACCAAGTGCCAAAATCTCCCTGATTAGTTGTGTTGGGGCCAAGCCTAATTAATGAGCTTCATTAACGGGCCTGGCTTTATTCCCTGTTGCTTTTTCCCCTCCAAACTTTAACGCGGGGGGAGGCAGCTTGGCCGGATAGGTGAGGTCAGTCAGCAGCGCTTATTTGTATTTATTTATATTATTTCTTTTAAAAAAAAATTAGAAGTTGCTTCTTAAATAAGATCTTTTTTTTGTGTGTGTGAGTGTTTGCTTTGCAATCAGCCCTCTTGATCTAGGTGTTGCATTTAGGTAGGGTCTGACCGGCACCAATCCCTTGGGAATATTAATCCGAGATGCTGAGGGAGCATCCCTGGGTTGGGGTGATGCACCGGTACCTGGGATAACCAGGGAGAGCCCAGCCCCCCGAACTAAGGGGCTTATAAATTTCACGTGGATCATCCCAAAGCTGATTAACTGGGAATGTCGGATCCTGGTTCTTGGAGCTGAGTGCCGGGAAAATCTCCTCCCTGGGATAATTGGGCCGTTAATGAAGGTGGCCCGAGCGCTGGCCTGCCCTGACCCCGCTCCCAAACAAGGCTCCGATTGTCGCTCCGGCTTAAAACAGGAGGAAGAGGAGGCGGGCGAAGGGTTTGCCAAATAGCCGGGATTTTGCTTAGCGACTGCTAATGAGGCTCCGACGCGAAAAACTTTGTTAGCGGCGGGTGTGCGCGGCAGCCCTTCGCCGCGACATTGCGCCGAGGCCGGGACTATGCACGTCCGGCCAGCGGCGTCACTGCGGCGTCCCCAAAAGTATCGCGCTTGGCGTGCTGCCCAGGTGTCATGTGGAGCCCTCGGAGGGGACCCTGCGAGCCCAGATAAAACCGCCTGCCCCAGTCCAGAGGCAAAAAATTCCTGGAATCCCTAAACAGTGTTTTTTTTAAGCCTTAAACAGTATTTTTGAGATTATTTTTTTTCCCTTAGACCACGTGGATGCCATCAAAAAAGCAAGTTTTCTCTTTTTATCCTGCATATTCGTGCTCACAATCTCACAAGCTCCTCCTCTTGCTGCTCCCGGGTGGGGAGAAGCACTGGGGGACCTCTGTGATGTGGGGGGGCACAGCTGGGACCCCAAGTTTAACTCTTCTTTTTTGTTTTCTTCCCCCTTTTCCTGCAGATGACGGCTCGCCTGATGCTCGCCGTGGGAGGAGCGGTGCTGGGTTCTTTGCAGTTCGGCTACAATACCGGTGTCATCAATGCCCCACAAAAGGTGAGCGTGTGCCGAGCAACCTTGCCGTAGCCAAATTCCACCCCCCACCCCGTGCCTGAAAACAAACCTGCATCCGCTGCCAGCCCGGCTAAAATAGTACATCCCGCTAGGCAGCTTACTGCCTGTAATGGGATTTGCAAGGGAGTTACTTAGCTCCCGCCTTCCCAGGAGAATTAGTTTTCTCCTCGCTTAGCGTTTTTGCCGGGAAAAATCCCAGGAACGCATGCAGGATGCTCGCTGGGTGGGACCAGCGTAACTTTTAACCTCGGCTTTTAGCGATGGTCTGGGAGCTAATTAGGGTTCGCGTCATCTTGAAGGGGGGGAACGACCGCTCTGATGGGATCTTTGCATCCCGGATGGGCTGCGTGCGAAGGGGGATGGAGAGCAGGAGGTGTTTGCTCCTTTCCCTAGCACAGGTGCCAGGACCCTCCGGCGGCTGGGGGGTACGTGGGAGCCTTGAAAACGTGACTTTCCCCAAATTACCTGGCTCTTTGAGGTGTTAAAGGCTTGGAAATGTTAGCTCGGAGATTCCCTGTGGGGCTCAACTGCCAGGGAAAAGGTCTCGAAGGATAAACCGGGGTCCAGCTGCTGCTGCAGAGAGCAGAGCCTGTCCCCGAGCATCACCACAGCCGCCGGTGCACCATCCCAAACAATTAAAATCACCGAGGCAGTATTCACGCTGCGAGATTATTAATCCCATTACCAGCGAACGGGTTGCAAAATCTCCCCTTGAGCGCTGAAAAAACTCCTTATGGGAGAGAAGCCCCCGTGCAAAAACTTCCCAGACCCCCCATCAGCACGGAACGAGCAGTAAAGATGCGAATTGCCTTTATTTGAGGTGTTGCATTAAATTGTATTTAATGACGGTGAGTGGTGCTGGCGGGATTTCACGCAGCTGGAGGCTGCGACTCCCGTCCAGCACCCTCAGCGCTCGCACCCACGGCCGCCGTGCACGCATCCGTCTGCTGAAAGCATCGCCCTGCTGAAAAAATCCTGACCCATGCTTGCCTTCCCCTGGACCCATCCACGCTGGCAACGTTCCCGCTTGGCCAGCGGCGAGCATGCCCCTCCGGAGACGGGCGATGGGAGCAGCGTTTGAAACAGCGGCGAGCTGGGAAATCCCTGGAAACCTGCTGAGGAGCTGCTTTCTGGCGTCTGCCCTCGTTTTTCCCCCAGCTCCGGCACCACGGGGAGCCGGCGCTCTGTAATTACCGCCTTGCATCGGAGCTTGACCCCCACATCCCGAGGCCGCGCGGGGTTTCTGTAGGGCTGAAGGACTTTTCTCCATCCTCCCCTGACCCAGGGCGACGCTGCATCGGGGTGCAGGATTGGGATGCGTCGGAGTCGGAACAGGGACGCATTGGGATTGGGATGCATCAGTGTGCAGGGTTGGGATGGGGATGCATCGGGATAAATTGGGGCGCAGGATTGGGGTTGGGATGCAGGATGGGGATGCGCAGGGGTGCAGAACTGGGATGCATGGGAGCGCAGGACTGGGATGCATCGTTCCCCTGGCTTCAGCAGTGCAAGGGCAGCGGCGTTTGCTGGCAACAGCTCCCGGCGGCCTCGCAGAAAGGCTCCTTTCTCAGGCGGAGGGCTAGGCGCCGGTTTTGTGGTCCTCTTAATATAGTCCTCGCCACTGCTGAAACAGCGGCTTGGTGTTTGTGGGTGTTTGCAGACGTGATGTGTGGAGGGGACAGCCCGAAACTGGGCGAGGGCTGGTAGAAAACACTCAGCTGAAACGAAAGGAGGGCGAGGGGGGGGGAGGGCAGGGGAAAAAAACAGCCCAAGTTTTGGGAAATGCGATGATTTTTTTTTTTCTTCCCATGCTTCTCACTTTAAACTCAGAATTTTTCATCTCCTCCTCTCCCAACAGCCCCACGTGGTGGGTTTTTCCATCCCTCCTTTTTTGCAGGAGGAAAGGGGCCAGGAGGAGGGTATTCAGGTGTTATTTTTTGATAAGCCAAAGCGCAGCCCCGCGTAGCTCAGCCAGCGACGGGGCATCCGCTGTCGCTTGGATTAATTTTTTTGTGCTTCAAGGGGAGAGAGCTGCGGGCTTTTGAGGAAGGTGGGGTGGAATTTAGAGTACGGCGAGGTTTGGTGGGGTGGGTGCAGAGACCTGCTTACCCCCGCCGAGAGCCCGAGCCAGCCCTGGGTTCTCCCCACAAGGATAATATCAATTATTTGTTTTGTTAGAAAAAGGGGGAAGAGCCCCCAAAGCGTCAAAACCTCCAGGCGAAGCAGGAGGCAAACAAAATCACTTCAAATCCTAATGGTTTAGGGGCTTTGTAAAAGGACCAACTTAAAAAAGAAAATTACATTCTTGAAATTATAGCGAAGCATGGGGTGTATTTCTTGCGCTGCCCCTGCCAGGGGCTCTCGTTTGTGCTTGAAGCAGTGGGAAGACTAGAAAACAAAGCGTGATTGTGCAAACACTGAATCGGGAACTGAACGCGTGCGAAACCCTTCGGAGCTGCGAGGTCTTTGAGCCACTTGACGTCCAGCAGCAGCTTCCCCTGCTTGCACGAAATCTCTGCTCCTTCCGGCCGGGGTTGGTCAGGCCTGTCGTTGAGCCCTTTGCTTTTTTGTTTTGGGTATGGGTGACCCTTAAATAACTTAGTCGAAGCGTTCGGTGGTGGGCTGACTTTAAAAATGTATTAAAAAAAAAAAAAGATATGAAATATATAAAAAAGGGTGTTCTGCGAAGACAGTAATTACAAACAAGCGCCTGTCTTGGATGTTAGCGTTGCAGAAGCGTCGCAGAATTATAGCAGGAGTATTGTGTTATAGAAGTGTTGCAGAAAAAAATCCTAGAAATTTAATTCAAGGGAGTGTCCGGGGGGGTGGGAACCGATCACCTGCCCGGATGACCCTGCTGTCTTCCTCGCCTTCCTCCACCACCTCTGCCATCTCCCCCCGCCCCGTGTTGCTTCTCCTCTGGTGATGGAGGCATCCCTCCCTGCCTCCCGTGCCCCGGGGAGGAGCGTGACCTCCCCATGGCTGCCCGGCGAGGCGAAAGAGGTGTTTTGGCAACGCTGAGCCTCTCTCGGCAGGGCGAGACCAGAACCCGTCCGGCTGCATTTCCCCCACGCGTCCCATCAGGTTTCCTCCCTTGGGCTGGAGCTGAGCCACCGGCTGGGCGGCTCCCGGCTCCGTGACGCATCATCTTGTGAGCCGTGCTCAGGGGCCAAGGGTCTCTGGGTGACTGGGCCAAGGCTGGGCACCTCCTAACAGGGGTGGCGCAGAGGAAATGGCGATGGTTTTAACCTATGGCTTCCTTTCTCGCTCTTTCACAGGTGATCGAGGACTTCTACAACCGTACCTGGCTCTACCGATATGAGGAGCCTATCAGCCCCGCCACCCTCACCACGCTCTGGTCCCTCTCTGTTGCCATCTTCTCCGTCGGAGGCATGATCGGATCCTTTTCCGTGGGGCTCTTTGTCAATCGCTTTGGACGGTGAGCACCAAGCGTGGTGGACCTGCGGTAGACCTCAACGGGGGCGTTGTGCAGCCTCACCGCACCCCGGCATCCCAGCGGGGTGGCTTTGGGCACCTCCCTCCTGCCAAGAGCTGATGTTTGGGCTCTCCCGACACCCCTTCCTCACCGCCCTCCTCCCTTCCCTCCCCAGGCGCAACTCCATGCTGATGTCCAACGTTCTCGCCTTCTTGTCCGCCATCCTCATGGGCTTCTCCAAGATGGCTTTATCTTTTGAGATGCTCATCCTCGGCCGCTTCATCATCGGCCTCTACTCTGGCCTCACCACCGGTTTCGTGCCCATGTACGTGGGCGAGGTGTCGCCCACTGCACTGCGGGGCGCGTTGGGAACCTTCCACCAGCTCGGCATCGTCTTGGGCATCCTCATCGCTCAAGTAAGTGCTGGAGAACCAGCTGGCGGGTGGGGGACGGTTCTCCATCTTCGATGACGATGCTCGTTGGGGTCTGCAGGGGAGGGGGTTTGGTGCAGCAGCGCAGAGCGTTGCCTGTGCCGTGGATCTGCGTGGTCCTTCAGAAGGAGATGGGGCTGGAGAGATGGATCTGGCGCTCAGCAGGAGCAGGGCTGCTCTGAGATCTTAAGGTTTGGGGCGGGCAGCGTCATGGTATGAGGTCTGTGGGCCACCTGGAAGCAGCGCAGCTGTCCGTGTCCCTCTGATGGGTGTCCAAGCCTGCCGCGCACCCATGAGCAGCAGAGTTGGGTCCAACTTGAGCTGGGAAAGGGTGGCTCAACCCCTCTTGTCCTCAGGTGTTCGGTTTGGACTTGATCATGGGAAACGAATCGCTCTGGCCGCTGCTCCTGGGCTTCATCTTCGTCCCTGCCCTGCTGCAGTGCATCATCCTGCCCTTCGCCCCCGAGAGCCCCCGCTTCCTCCTCATCAACCGCAACGAGGAGAACAAAGCCAAGAGCGGTGAGTGACGCCCCTGTCCCTGAGCTTGGCCCACCATGCAGGAGGGTCCTCCGCGGCACCTGACTCCAGCTCTTCCCCTTAGTCCTCAAAAAGCTGCGGGGCACGACGGACGTCAGCAGCGACCTCCAGGAGATGAAGGAGGAGAGCCGGCAAATGATGAGGGAGAAGAAGGTCACCATCATGGAGCTCTTCCGTTCCCCCATGTATCGCCAGCCCATCCTCATCGCGATCGTCCTGCAGCTGTCCCAGCAGCTCTCGGGGATCAACGCGGTGAGTTTGTGGGGGGCGGATGCCGTGGGCTCAGCCCGTTTCACCCAGAACTTGGCTTGTGCTGGGTCCAAGTCAGCGTCACGTGGCGGGTTGATGCCAGACCTGACATTCCTGCCCTTTGTAGGTCTTCTACTACTCCACCAGCATCTTCGAGAAGGCGGGTGTGGAGCAGCCCGTCTATGCCACCATTGGCTCCGGCGTGGTGAATACGGCGTTCACGGTCGTTTCGGTGAGTTTTGGCCCACCAAGCTGCCGCCGGGGAAGCTGGAGAGAAGGGGGCTTCCTTCCCTCCAGGCTGGGGTCGTGCTGATGGACGCCTGTCTCCATCCGACAGCTCTTCGTGGTGGAGCGCGCCGGACGCAGGACCCTCCACCTCATCGGCCTGGCGGGGATGGCGGGGTGCGCCGTGCTCATGACCATCGCCCTGACGCTGCTGGTGAGCGATGGGCGCCGAGGGGACGGGTGGGCTGGGAGGAGGCCCT